TAAATACATATTGAAAATCTAAAAGTAAGATATTATTAAAATAATCGAATTTTAGTAGGGCTATAATCGTTCAAAAAAATAATTCTCACTTGATGTAATATTTAATATATATTATAGATTTGAACTTCCATAAAAGCGTTGTGGAATCTTTAAGGGGGCTAATCTAGTGCATTTTGAAGGAAGATGGTGCTAACTTGGCATAATTTTGGCTACAAAATTGGACTTATTCTTAAATTATAAGTTCATCCAAACATATTCTAATTTTACCCTACCCTTCCTTTTTTTGTTATTTTGTTTGGAACAATTTGCGTTCGGAAACAGCAATAAATCCAGTTCTCTTTTGGGTTTGGGCCGTTTGGCAGTTGTGTTTACTGGGCTGGGTTTAGAATTTTTCAGGTAGGCCTGCAATCGTGTAAACATTTTTGAGAAAAAATGGTAATATACCCAACTTTGTGACTAGATCCCACAAATACTGAGGGATCCAAAAAGAGTTTTTTTTAATTATACGAATTTGTATAAAGTTTATACTAAGATTTCATCTGTTACAAAAAGAGTTTCTAATAAAAAAATAAAATTCAAAATTCAATTTCACGACCTCGCGGACTTGTGCTTTATCAATATAGTTCATAGTTGCAAAGTTTCGTTTCAAATGGTCATTCAATTCAAAGTACTACTTCACCTTTCCCGATGAAGATAGATTAAGTTTCTTACCTTTGAATCAAACTTTTAGAGCATTTCCTTTATCTTCTTCTCAATGATAAGATGAGCATAGATGACAACGAGTATGCCATAATCACGGTTAAAAGAAAAAGGTAAATTGCAAAATCAAGGTGTTGAAGTCATATTGTGTGGTATAAATAAATAGTATCTTCGAATGATCAATATCGGGTAATAATATTCGAATTATTGCATATTGCAGACACAGTCCCAATAACACAAGTTGTTTAGCATTTTGCAGTATGTATGAGTTTCATTTCCCTATATGGAGTCATTATATGCATAACTAACACTTCTTCGACCACTTTTGCAATCGTCACATACCCACGAAAAATAATTTTATTTATTTATTTATTTTTAAAACATGACTTGAACGATAACATTGTTATAAAGGACCCCAAAATTAACTATCTTGAACAATAAGCATGAAATACTGAATTCATGTTGAGAATTGTACTTACTTTACAATTTAATGTTTGAATTATGAAGGATTTTGATTAACTTTCGAAATAATCACCAATTGTGCGGGGATCTTGGAAATATAAGTAGTTTTAATGATTATATTGTGGCGGAATCCATTATTATCGAGACTAATTCGGATCGTGCTCATTCCTAGTTGCACCATAAGGAAACTTTTGAGCCCCATTTTTTCTCATTCCATTATATTAATTTTTTTCTCTCTTCATCTCAACCACACATTCATCAATAAAATAATATTACACGCAAATCTAAAACTTTTCCACTACACATTCTCCTATCAATCACCATTCTACAAATTTTCAACCCCAAAAAATGAGGGCCAAACAGGGGCTAATGATTTTACAGTTTTCTAATATAAAGAATCAGATAGAAATAGTAGCAGATATTGACTCTTTCTTGATTCACTTTGATTCCTTTCAGAATCGCACACTCCTATAAGCGATGTTGCTAAAAATGGCTATCAGCTTGTAGCGTCTAACACCCCTACGTGTGGTGGAGACGAAAAAATGACAAATTAGGCAAGCTACATATAATTATATTATTTAAATCTACCTAATTTTAAAATTAATGAAATAATCCAAACTTATTGCTTAACGAAATAATCCCAAATTTCAGTGACATATTGTTAGCTTGTAAGCATTCGTTGGGTGTTGGACACAAAACAAATTTAAAACAACCAATGCAGTGTTGTCACCTTATCATCTGTAATGCTTTATGTCATTCTTATTTGTACAAACAACTTTATTCAAATTTAGTAATACACGCTTCAATAATTTAATATATTAAGAGGAAAAGACAATCATAATTACTCAACTCAACTAATGGACAATACATACATTTTCTAATTAGTGTATGATTGTGACTTGAGAAATAAATAAGTAAACCAACAAGAGGATATCCAATGGAAAATCTTCATCTCTATTTCTACTCGTGCCTTGTCAATTCTCGACTTGTTTGAGAATAATCTTATGAAATTAATAATTAGTTTGATTAATTAATAATGTTTTTTTTTTCATTTTTAATATTTTCAACATTGTACGAGACTTCGTATCAAACAAGAGTTATATGTACAATCTCCAAGGGAAAGAAGAATATTAAATAAAATCAACGATAAATTATTTTAACATTGTCTTTCTTTTTAAAGACATGCATAATTTTACAACTTGAAAGTATAAGAAATAATCACTTTATAAACACTTTCAAGATTTGGAGATTTATTCAATCCGTCTATATTTCTCTGTCATTTCTCGCATGAATAACTGTTTATAGATTTAGTAAAGACGGGTAAAACAAATTTTATTTCACATAGAATTTTTTTTATACAATCACGCGATAAAACATAAAAAAATTTGAAGTAAACAAAAAAGTCAATAGAAAATTTGTACAATTGAGCATAACATTTAGAATTTGATTGAAAATATAATGTGCATAATCGAATAGGTCTAGTGATGTGCACTACTCTTTTGTTAGTTCTTCTTTGAAAACTAGGGGTGATTGTCGAGCTCGGCTTGGCCCACCATACAAGTGATTTCATGCTCATATATGGAGCGAGTCGAGCATGAACTGACTCTCTTCAAATGATATGGGCTCGACTCATTTCATCAACTCGCTCTTTACTCTACTCATCCCACCTAACCTCCAACCTAACACCCTTATTGCACAAACTATCTTTTTTATGTGAAGCAAAGATAAAATATGTCGAATTATGTTAATATCAAGGGACAAAATGAACAGCATGTTAGACAGCTAGTCTGCCCACATGACATGATCACATGCTGCATCTCCCTCCTATTTTTTTATTTTAGTATTCGGTTTTACAGTTGTTTTCTCATACAAATCAGTTAATAACTATGGAAACTTTTTAATTGAAAATGAAGGTGAATAAGCCAAAACATTGTCCACACATTATACTGTTCAATTATATTTTTGTTTGTTAATCAGATTTTAATCTAAGTCAAAATCAAGTAATCAATATTAACCGCATCTTTCATAGGTTTTCAACCACATAATTCAAAAACGTCTATCACAATATATTAAAAATCTAATTTTAATTCCCACCAAACACTCACGTAATATTACGTATTAAGTACTTGTTTGACTCGGCTTTCAAATGCTTATAAATAGTAGGTCCAAATGAATGTACAATTAAAAAGTATGTAAAAAATTTATGAATAAAAATAGAATGGAATCAATTGATAAATAATTATGAACTTTGCCAAATATGCACTACTAAATATGTGTTTATAAACTCTTCTCAACCCCTATTTGAAATATATTTTTCCCCAAAAATCAATGTATTTGGTGCCAATGCATGGGAATGAATAAGGGAAAAGCCACGTTGCCAGAAGAAAATGACTAGAAGCAATTCCAAAAAGTACGTGACGGGAGGTGATTGGCTGAAAGAGATAATTGTGTTTTAAATTATCAAATGATAAAATATCACGTGACATTATATAAATCTTTATTTCAATTATTATGTACATGTAGCACGATGATAATAAATAAATTACAGAGCAATTACGAGATTTTTGACCTTTTGACTCCATCTCACCAAGCAATTTTATTGTGTATATTTGAATTATCTTAGACTTTATTTGGTGAAGATTAAAATCAAAATTTTAATAAAGTTGATGGCACCCGTGATTAAAAAATAGTAGATCTTATGAAATGTGTAGTTAAAATTAATTGTTGATTTTAACTTAAATTTTTTAACTCTACCCAAGGCTTAATATGTAAACTTTGGAAACAATTTGTACGGTTGGGAGAAATGAACATCGGGGTAAGATGGACTTTCCATCTTTCAAGTTAAGGGCAAAATTGAAAATGTCAAAATCCCTTTATCGAGGTGCGTCATGAAGGATAATTTGGTTGAATATTCAATAAAAATAAAAAAATCAAATTTATTTTCAAGCACGAATCGACAACTTTATCAATTTTTTAATTATATATATTTTTTATCAAAATTTACTTAAAATCTAATTTTTATTAAAACCGACCAGGGGCTAAACAAAAGGATAAAAGAAACTAACAACATGAATTTCCAAAGTCATAACATATTTTCGTTTTGTTGTGAATGCGGATATGGAAAAGTATCTTTGTATTACCAAAATGACTGGGCCCACAAGAATGCCATGAAAAATAAGGGAGATTTTCCAAAATAGCCGGGTCAAATGGCCCATTTGAGTTTTTTTGTAAAAAAATCAATTTTACCCTTAATAAAATGATTTTTTTTATTGCAAATCATGTCCTCAAACTTTATGGTTTTTTAGTTTTATTCTTATTTCTATTCGTCATCACTGGATGTTTCTTCTAATTCTGATTTTTTTTCAAATATTTCTTTATTCACTTCTATTTCTTCAATA